TATATGGAGTAATAGGAGGAGTTATAGGGAGAGGTTATTTTGAGCAATAGGAGGAGTTATAGAGAGAGGTTATATGGAGTAATAGGAGGAGTTACAGGGAGAGGTTATATGGAGCAATAGGAGGAGTTATAGGAAAAGGTTATATGGAGTAATAGGGAGAGGTTATATGGAGTAAAAGGAGTAGTTACAGGGAGAAGGTTTGTGAAGTAATAGGGAGAGGTTATATATATTTATTCTGTGAGGTTTTGATAAAAATTGAAGGTGTTATTTGAAAGGTTATATAGGGTTACGGGAGTAATTGAGAGCATTTATAATAGTTATTTCCCCCTCTGTTCTATGTCCCCTTCCTTCTCGTTCAGTGAGTAACCCAGCCCCTCCCAGCCCCCCTGTTCATTTATCAAACAGTCTGCCCTTAATGTCCTGGTTTTCTTAGAAAAACACATGCAAAGCTATAGGGAGGGGCATGGGGTATGTAAGGACACAGCATATGGTGACAGCAGACCTTTTATATTCCTACTAATCCCTCCCAAGTTAGAGACCTGCTAAACATCTCTCAATTAATTCCATTCTTCCTAATAGACTGAAACTTTCATTAACCCTTCTTCTGCAAAGTATTGACCTGTTCATCTAGGTCCTTAAAAAAGCTTGTATCTGGCTTTAACCATTTATTACCACATATCTATAGCAGTTTGCATTATTAACAATTGTGGAAAATCAGGACGTGAACACATTTCCTGCCATTATTGCGCATAGCAAAACTCATCAATTTGTACAGCCTGGGAATGGAAGATGAACATGAAGATTAAAGGGTTACTAGAAATGTTTAGTGAGAATAACCCTTATTGGCATGCCCCAACCCCCCCAAAAAACCTACAGCCTCTTCTAGTGATATCACTCCCCTCAATGCAGGAGGAGGAACATACCCATAGGAGGATTATGGCGGCACGGCGGCTTATCGCCATTGGTTTACTGACGCCATTATGCTATGCATGCTGACAACAGTTGCCTAATATGCACAGATTTAACACTCACTACTGGCTTGTTTACATTACGTGCCTGCCTGCAGGGCTCCTATCATAAATATTAATGCACCCCTACACAGCCCCTACCTCTTAAGTCCGCTAAAGGGCCCGCCCCCTGAATCCACCCAAGATGGAATTTACGTATAAGGTGCCTGAGGCGCCTCCTGCTCCCCCGCCACCGAAAAAACAAATACAACGTCGATACACTGAGTTTGATGACTTTATTAACTGGGCGTTGCAGGCATAAAACTGTTTAAAAAAACCATATATTGATATTTGATAACTGCAGACAGTATGTGTAAAGTTCTGCCTGTATTGTGTTTAAATCTGTAAGTATAGTGTGTGTATGCAAGTGTATAAATGCATACAGGGTCAAAGATAATATCCTTATTATTATTATTATTGGTATTTATATAGCACCAACTAATTCCACAGCACTTTACAATATTACGAAAGGGGGGAAATTTACAATAAATGAGACAATTACACAGTGACACAGGAACAATAGGTAGATGAGGGCCCTGTTCAAACGAGCTTACAGTCTAGAGCAGCGGTTCTCAAACTCTGACATGCACACAGGGATGCCGCGGAATGTTTCTCCGGTGCTATGATTATAGCACTGGGGAAACATTATTACTGAACAGGGCCCCGGTCGTGCCCCTGTAATGTCGGCCGGCTGGGAGGAAGGGACAACCTGTCACTTCCTCCCAGCATCCTGCAGGTAGACAGCCCGGGAGGGAGAGGAGGCAGCCACAGCGTGAGGGGAGAGGAGCATGAAGAGCTCCAGACCCCTCACTCTCACAGCAGCAGGACTCCAAGCTACCCTCCTGGCACATAAGGTAAGCAGGAGGGAACAGGAGGAGGGCTGGAGATATATAAAATATATAAAATCCATGTGTGAGTATGAGTGTGTGTATGTGTCTGAGTGTATGTGTGAGTATCTGTATGAGTGTGTGTATGTGTATGAGTGTGTGGATGAGTGTGTGTGTGTGTATGAGTTTGAGTGTGTGTGTGAGTATGAGTGTTTGTATGTATGAGTGTGTGTATGTGAGTGAGTGTGTGTGTGTCAGGGTGTGCATCTGTGTGTGTGAATATATGTCAGTGTGCTTCTGTGTCTGCTCACTCATCTGTGTATGTGTATTTGTGTGTCAGGGTGTATGTTTTTATGTCAGTGTGTGTATCTATGTCATGGTGTGTGTATCAGTGTTTGTGTGTGTCGGGGTGCATGTGTGTATGACGGTGTGTATCTATGTGTCTATGTATCAGTGTCTATATGAATTTGTGTGTATGTGTCAGTGTATTTATATGTATCTATGTGTTAATGTGCATGAATATCTGTGTAAGTATGTATATGTGTGTATATATGTGGTAGTGTATGTGCATACATCCAAGCAGTCAAACACCAGCACAACATGCAAGCACACCCCTGCAATCTAACACAAATATTACATACACACACCCCTGCATTAAAAAAAATATATATATACAAACACACCCCTTCACTCAAACACAAATACTTCACACAAAGGAAAATTCGCATTTTAAAGTGAACATTACATTCAGGCACACCCCTGCAATCAAACTCAAACATTACATACAAACACACCCCTGTATTAAAACACAATAACTATATACAGGCACCCCTTCAAACACCAACACTGTACATTACACTATAGCGCCAGTAAATGCTGCAGCGCTGTACAGATATACAACCTAGAAATTTTGACTTGGCTGCCTTGGGAAAAATACTGAGGGCGCCTTGAACCTAAAAGGTTTGGGAACCGCTGGTCTAGATGATAAAAAGTGATTTTGGAAAAGGAAGGTTTAAAGTGAGAGGGGTTAATGTCAGAGTTAGTTCACATAAAGTGTATAGTGTTAAGAGGATTAAAAACTTGAAAGGGGTTATATTTATGGCATAACAAGTGTTTATGTTCAGATTTAGTATTTGGGTACATTGGGTGTTTCGTTTTTAAGAGCAGGTTTGAGATTTACGCTTTGAGTGCTTAAATGTGGGACTAAGGCAAGGGTTTGTTTAGGTTTTGGAAGAAATTAAATTTAAAGTTAGGGAAAAATGACATTTAGGGCATGTGGAGTTTGAAGAGTTTTGTCTATATATTCACCTTCCTATCCTTCTGAAGTCCTGTCAGCCTCCTCCTCTGTTTTTTGAGCAGCAGGAGCTGTTATACAATGTGCATCACTCAGACTTTCTCCTACTCCTCCCACAAGGCATTTCCTGTATGAGAGGCTGTTAGTGGGCAAATGGGAAGTGATCCCTTCCACTTCCTGTCCAGCCTCACACAGATACTGGAGGAGCTGGGACAACGTTGAGTTTTACACGCTCTATAACTGTTCCTGCAAATTTCCTATTATGGCTGGCTGGACTACAGAAGACATTGGCCAAGGCTCCTGGTACCTCCACCAGCCCACTTGAGATCAGTAAAAGCACATTATAAGTGCGGAACACTGTCAGCTCCCACAGGGCAGGTGCTTACTCTGCGTAATGGGATATCCGAACTTGGCGTAGGTTAAGTCTGAGAGTCTCCCACTTCCCCACCGCCGCTATACAAGCTTTTGATAATGCAGGGAGCGAGTTATTTAAATTTTTTTATTTTTTTATTTATTTAAGAATTTTTATAAGAAAATGTATTATAGTATATAATATTGACAACAGATCACACCTTGAGGATGTTGATTAAAGAAAGACAGGGCACCATGACACATGATGTAAGATTCGAACAGGCTCCAAATTACATAATCATGTATTCATGGCTTAATAAGTTCTTTAGAACGTTACAGTAGCTGTCTAAAATTAGAAAGCATTGTCTCTTCATCTATATTTTCACCAACATGTCAGTACTACATCTCAGTTTTAAACAGATATTGTTAATTTTTATTTGTTCCCCATTAGCTGTTTGGACTGTGCACGGTGAAAGTGTAAAATTCTAAAGAGATTTTTTTGTATATCCTCTATCCACGTAGTCAGATGCGTCCCTGGTCGTCATGTTAATATGTAAGTGAGAATGTTGTCAAAATAAAACTTTAACCTTAAAATTAAAGTATAGAGTAAGGCAACATTGTCTCTAGGGGAAGCTTGTTGGTGGATCAAGTGCATAGCGGTTTCTAAGTAGTCCCTGGAAGGGATCATGTTTTAGATGTCACCCACCATATCCATTGTTATTGTATGGTTGAAGGGTAAGGGCAGAGGGAAGGGTAAAGGGTGATTAACTATTTACAATTTCCCAGATCGAAGGGTGCATTTAGTAGTGCTCAAATAAAGGCATGAAGAGGTTGTCAGTGAAGAAAGCATTTCGAAGGTCCTGGCACGCATGTCTCGGCGCCCCCTAAAAGAAATGGAAGGAAAAAAAAATAGAAATAGAAGAAGAGAAAGAAAAATAAACAGTGAACGGGAAAGAAAGAATTATAATAATGATAGGAGGAAGGGTGAGAAAAAGGGCAAGGGGAGGCATACTCTATCAACCACATCTCCCCTTTTCATAGGTCATTTATTATTGCAGTTTTGTTAAATGTGTTTGTGAGGTTAGAGACCGCATACAATAAACTTTGCTGATATCAGACAAAGTGAGACAGAAAGGGGTGTTTTATAAACCCTTTAACATTTAACCCTTTATAGGGCTTCTACACATTCAATATTGTATGTGCAGAAGCCCTATAAAGGGTTAAATGTTAAAGGGTTTATAAAATACCCTTCCTGTCTTATTGGAGACTCTTGGCTGATATCAGCGTATCTAATGGCTAGTGTAGGAACTCACCTATTGAGGCTTGCCTTGACGTGGCTGGTGAGCTTACATATTCAAATGGCCATTTAGAATAGAACTAAAGAGCCTCCATTTTGTTCAAATGCACATGGGGATCTAGGCCAGAGCGCAGGTAACGTTTTTCTTTGTTTTTACTATGTATTTTAAGCTGTTGGATACTAAGCCACTGCTGCTGTAAGCGCGGTGCTTTATCTTTGTGTCTGTCTTGGTAAAGTATCTGTTGCTTCTTGCTTGGATGTTGGGGTAGTTCCCTAATAGGTATTGACTCAGTATTCCGGGTTCACAAAGTTGCAACAGCCTCTGTGGAGTCCAAAAGATATTATTATTTGGTGTTCTACCATTCTCTATGCACGCAGAGCGACATCAGTTCGCACTCCTTACTAGGTGCAGTTGCTGCAAGTCTCCCCTGCCACCACATCCCAAAGGCGTTCTACTGAATTGGATCCGGTGATTGTAGAGGCCATTGGAGTACACTGAACTCATTACTTATTTCATGGTACTAGCTGGAGATGATGTGGCACATTGACCTGCTGGAAGTAGTCATTAGAAGATGGGTGGGCTCTGGCTGTAGAGGGATGCACATGGCCTTAGCTGGGCTATGGCATACAAGCAATGCTCATATATTATTAAAGAACTCAATATCTACCAAGTAAATGATCCCACTTCAATACACCACCACCATCCTGACCCACTGACACAGGGCAGAATGGATGCTTACATTCTTGTTGTGTGAAAGCAAAATTCCAGTCCTACAATTTTTATGCAACAGAAGCAGAACTCAAGATTCATCAGACCAGGCAATTTATTTTCAACCTTCTGCTGCCCAGTTTTGGTGCCCCTGTGCCGACCGTAGACTCAGTTTCCAGTCCGTAGCTGACAGTAGTTCCTGGCGTGGGCCTTTTCTGCTTTGGCCCAACCATGTCAATGTTTGATGTGTTGTGCATTTAGAGATGCTTTTTCTGCATTGTTGCAACACGTGGTTTCTTCAATTGCGCATACCTTCCTTTTGACTTTTGACTTTTTTTTTAATTGTCGCTCACGGGATGTTTTTTTTGTTTTTCCCACCATGTTGTGCAAACTTAAGAAACAGTTGTGCAAGAAAAATTCAGGAGCTCAGCAGTTTCTGAATTACTCAAACCACCGGCATCAACAATCATTTTAGGTTCAAAGTCACTTAGAATGCTCTTCTTTCAGATCTTTAGTTTGAACAACCGCTGAACGTCTCGGCCATGTCCGCTTGTATGTATGCCTTGCGCTGACACCTTATTGGCTGGTTAGATATTTGCATTATAGAACACATCTACAGACGTACCTTGCAATGTGGCCTCTGAGTGTATGTAAAGGTCTCATTACCATTGTTTGACAAAGCAAAGCAGAATACTCAGATGGTGTATGGGACATTTGTCAAGATAAATTAACTAATTCAGCAAATTTTAATGGAAATATTGCATAGAATTATCATGTTCCTAGCCATTAGTAAGAGCTTTTCTACCTGGGTAAATGTTTATGGGGCAGAAGGCTGTGATAGACAAAGTCTATGGTTTTAAGGGTTACTCCAAAATCCATGACCTTATCTGCTTGAAACTTTGCACATTTAGAGATATTTGTAATTTTGTGCCGGGGGCTAGCTTCACACCTGTCGTACGTACTCTGTTCCAGGCTGACAAATGTGAATTCTGTGCAAAAGTAACGACAGGTATAATTACCTTGTTCACATTGAGCAGGCATCTCTGGGAGCCTGCCTGCAACATGAAACCCTTTGAACTAACATTGCTCCATATTTAAATATTTTTCATCCCCCCCTAACGCTAGCCCTGTATCAATATATCTCTCCCTAATCCTGCCTCCTTCCATAATACCATCCCCATCACTATGTCCCTCCCTAAACCTGCCACCATATATTATAGTATTTTTTCTCTTCTCTCTCCCCTCGCCCACCTCCCATCCACCTCCTCCCCGGTAGTCCACACATCCCTCTCTCGTGATTGGACAAAGGATCCATATCCGATGAAGTGCAAGGTCAACAGAGGAGGCCTAGAACGG